ATATATGTTCCAAAATTTTATATTTTAATATTGAACTTTATTAAAAATAAATAGTTAAATTTTAATAATTTAACAGTAAATAATATATATATATATATATATATATATATATATAAAAGATAAGAGAAGAATAAGAGATAAATGAGAGAAATGAATAAGACGAGAAAGAGAAAAGAGATAAAGAAGAATGAAAGAGAAAGAGAAAGAAACACGAAAAAAAGAGAACATGAGAAGAAGAAGAAGAGATAAATGAAACACATGAGTAAAAAGAAAAGAAAAAATGAGATAGAGAAGAAAAGAAAAGAGAGAACCAAGAATGATGAGAAAGAAGGAGAAAAAAATATATGAAAGAAAGAAGTAACAAAGGTGAGAGAAAATATTTAAGAGATTAAAAACAGTAGAAATAAAAAAAAAATCATGTAAAATCTTAAAAATTTTGAGAAAAATATTTGAATAGTAAATTACATGTAAATTATACTAAAAAAAACTCATAAAATTTAATATTTAAAATAATTTATTGAAATCTCTATATTTTATAATAGCAACATATTTTTTTAAGTAAAAAAAGTATTAACTGAATGTCACTAAATTTTGATGGAATTCTAAAAAAATCTGAACTATCTTAATTGAATACTACTAAATTTTGATAGTTTCTTAAAAAAAATCTAATTGTTTTGATTAAATATCATATAACTTTTATATATTAAAATAAGTATTGATGGAATATAAGAAGAATTTTTTATAATAATTTTTTTTAAATCTATTAAAATTCTAATCTAATACACTTCCTAAATATAAATTTGGGTGTAAATAAAAAACACGTAAACATATTAATTATAAAAATTATTTATTATTACATTAAAAATACACGTAAATTTTCTTCTTAATATTTTACATAAAATTTAAATAATATTAATATTTATAATCATATAAAAATGTTAGCATGACAATAAGTTTCTCAAAAATTAACGTAGAAAATTATATATATATATATATATATATATTCAACATCATACATCAACATACAACACACAACAAAACTTAATTATCATACAACACGTAATAGATACAACTATTCTATACATGTTCACCAATTTCACCATAAAGCAACAAGTTAAATTAAAGCAACATGCACCTAACGTCATCAAGGCAAGGAGCCCTCTACCTTACCCACGCTTAGCGTCATACAACTTGCGTCTAACATGTATATATAAAATAAAAAGGAAATGTTTAAAAACACACTATGTATCAAGTTGATACTAATATAATACCAAGATTAGGGTGCATTGCTTTCATATTTCACATTGTTCCACACTTTTTAACCATTAGATCAATTTAATATTCACGATAATATAATGGTGCTTATCCCACACTAAATCACACCTCATTCTCTTTTTCTTCAAAAGCACTAAGAAGTGGATAAGTACTCCACTTTCTCCCATCGTGCTTGTCCACAACGACACTTGTTAACCATCACAAAACTATTTATACTCCTAGTTACCATTGCAAACTCATTGTCGATGGAGAAGATCAACCCAACTTTACCACAATCACAAACAATGTTGGACTCACAATTCCGATGTGAGGAAGGACAAGAGCACTAACCCTTCACCCACAAGAAGTTAAACATAAATAGGTTTACCCGCACCCCACGCAAGCCATGTGCATTGCTTTCCTCAAAAGTGAAAACATTAAGGTTAGTCATTTTGTCATTAGCGATTTTTTCCTTGCCATGAAGATTGGGAGCCCCCCATCATACGCTTTAAACAACAGGCTCTTATGACCATTAGACATTCCTTGTTAGGGACACCATAAGTCATGTGCAGTACAAGAGATTTGGCAAATGACATGGAGTTAGGGTGGAGGGATAGTGACAAAGTTAGGGTGGAGAAAAGGGACGACAAAGTTAGGATGGAGCAAGTGAAGAGTTGTGAAAAGTTGGAGGAATGAATACTCTAGTACAACAAATGTAGCATACAATCTATAAGATAAAATTAATGGTTAAACATTATGGACCACCATAGACCAATTAGAGGTAGTCTACCCTACACTTAGTCTTAATATAATACTACATTTGTTTCTATATATAGGATCAAATTATCTAGTTTATTAAAATCAAGAAAAATAGTTAATTTAGTTGATAACAATAAATTTATCCTATTTACATTTTTTTAAACTTCTCTTGTACTACTTTTCTTTTTCTAATTAATGATTATATATTTTATAACCAATTAGAGTGCGTGTTTTATACTATTTATCTCTCTTAATTGGTACTCATATTCTTCCTAATCAATACTCAAGAATTTCAAGAAGCAACCAAAACAGAATCAAATGCAAGAGTGGAAATTTATGTACACAACAGCTAGCCAAAATAATTCAATAATCCACCAATGCACACGCAGACGTTGTAGGTTTGTTGGGTTAGGCAACGGTCTAGTATTATGTGGTCTTCTGTAAATTGGTTCTAGACTTCTAGTTGAGTTCATAGTACGTATATGACATGCAATTATTTTGGTGAAGTTTATTATAATCTCCTTATTTTTTTTTTTTATAGTTATTAAAGTGGTATATGATTTGTGTAAATTGCTTTGATATGTGCGTTTTTTTTTTTGCGGACTATAAAAAAGAATACTGAGTTCTTTTTTAATACTATAAGTCAAAGACACGTAAAGGTTCTGATCATATTTCGGCTAGTGAACCATAGAGACCTATAAAAAATAAACAGGCACTTAAAATGATCGTACATGCTCGAATATCATTGATCGATTCCTATTTTTTTTTATTCATTTCAATGTGAACAAGAATTCAACGGTAATTTACTAAGAATATAATAAGTTTACAATAAACTAATATATATTGCCAATAAAAATATAATTTTCGACTTAAATACTATTTTACGTTTACCTGGAATGTATGGAACATAAATGTAATAAAATCTAAGTAAAATAATTTTGTATATGTATATTATTAGCTCCAAATTTTTGTTAAATAAAAAAATCAACTATCTTTTCTTTGCCACTTTTTTAATTATCTTAGAGAATTTATAATATTTTCTTTTAAGTTATTTATAATAAAAGTGAACAAACATATTATTCAATATTCTATGATTAGATAACAGTGAAAAAATATTTTACACTATTGAGACAGTCTATTTTCTCATATATATATATATATATATATATATATATATATATATATATTTTTTTTTATTTTTTTTCTCATATATATATATATATATATATATATATATATATATATATATTATTTTGACTATTTTACTAATGCTAGTTAAATGTATTATTGTCTACCAAGTAATTTTTTTAAGGTTTCCTAGAAAGAAAACAGCCAACAGAAATAAAAATAGGGAGAAGCAAATTACATGTTGTACAAGCGGGGTTCTGGTTGCCCATGGTACAACGCAGTTGCTCCTTATGTTGTCTTTTGCCCATTCACAAGCCAGATTTTTGGTAAGCTGATTAATTGCAGCTGAAAATCCATTGGACAAAAAATATAGTTGTCTTTCTTTGTTTGTGATAACATTTTTTTTAATCACATGTGCAAGAAAGAAAGAAAAGACCTTATGAGTATAGTACTCAGTACCTTTACTTGCTGCATAGACAGATCCAGTACCCAAGCTCACTACACCAGCAACAGATGAAATGAACACAATGCTTCCCTTTTCAGATGCTTTCAGAAGAGGATACACAAGTTGGGACAGATGGAATGAGGAGTCTAAATTAACTGTCATCAACTCTGAATACTCTGCAGCATTGTACTCTATGGTTGACTTTCTAAAGTTTGTTCCAACGTTGTTTATCTAAAGCACAAAGCCATGCATATGAATGGCTAATATCAAAATGAACAGACACACCCCTCACCTATTACCGTTCAAACTAATTCCAATGGCATGACATATGATCATGTACAAAAGTCATTCAAAAGAAGCTAATGAACTGATTTTTCTTTTCTATCTAGATTTTTTAAGAGTTTATATTAATTTGAGTATAATTCAATTTTATAAAATCAATTTATTGAATAAAAATTATTTTTCTCTTATATATATTATACTTTATTCATATCATTATTCGATCCAAACACTCACATGGCTGAGAATTAAATATTTTGAACTTGACATTAAATAACCATCTAATCTGATTAAAGGTGATTTACTATCTGGTTAAATACTATGATGCACTGATACGATACACGTATTGAATATGATATGTATCCGATACAGCGATACTATTATTTTAAAATATATACTATAGTTAGTAAGATAGGTGTCATTATATGTAATACATGAATAACTTGGTGAATAATAAATTAATTAAAAATGAAAGTCCGGATCTGATACCACTTGAGCATTATGAGTAGTACTTACATAGATGTTAAGTTTGGCATTGAAGGTGGATGCCACTTCCTGAATGAGGTTCTCTCTCTGAGTTGGTGAGGACACGTCACAGACGGATCCAGTTACCTGAAAGCCCTGAGTTTGCCACTCTTGTATGCACTTATTGAGCTCTGTTTGGGTCCTGGAACAAGTGTGCACGGCAGCGCCAAACGCGGCCAAGTCACTCACTATGGCGTGCCTGAAAGAGAGTTAGAAGTGAAAGGATCATTCAGAAGAAAGCAAAAACAGAATGAAAGATCATAACATGGAGTGTGCGTTGAGAAGGAGAGAAAGAAAACCCGATCCCACGGGTGCCGCCTGTGACAAGAGCTGTCATTCCATTCAGAGACCACCTCCTTCCTCTGTGACTGCTGCTGCTTTGCTGTGCCTCTGCCATTTTCCTCTGTTTTTCACTCCAAAACCACGTTTCCCCTTGTTTTTTCAAGGTGACTTGACTTCGTATGTATAATAATAAAGATGATCGAACGTTTAACATTAAAAAGTGAGTAAAGGCATGGATACAGTCTGGCATCGGTTGTTTATTTAATTACAGGGAATCTTAAATACAATTTTTTTTAATATATAGACATTCTTCACTTATTATTCAAAAGTTAATATCAAAGATTAATATGTATTAATAAGATATAATTTTTATTAGTTAAATATTATTTTAGTACAAATTATATTTAAATATATAAATTATAAAATTATATAAATATATATATTTTTAAAATCTTATGAGTTTCAAGATAAGTATTATAAAAAAAAAACTTTATTATTTTAATTATAATTTAAAAATGTTCACAATATCAATAGAAAGTAAGGTTTTTTTTTAACATAAATAGAAAGTTACTAAGTTGTATATATGAATATATAAGAGTAACTGTAAATAGTATACATTAACAAGTCAACTCAAAAAGCTCGTTTTGATGATGCACATGCATGTGTAAAGAATTGATTACACACTGATTTCAGATTTGTATGCATAGAAATTGGTGCCAGTGAGATAAGAAATTCAACTCAACTCAACTATTATATTGTTTATTAAAGCAACTCTTTTGTATCAATAGTCACTGATTTTAAAAATGCAAGCAGGGGAAACGCAATTGTATGTAGTTATGAATATATGGATAATAGCATTATAAATTTATTGAAATATTTAAAAGTAATTGATTTTATCTCACACGTTAATAACAATTGAAAAATTATAAATAATGAATTCAAATTATAAATTTAGGAGAGGAGAAAAATAACTCAAGACACATATATATTATTTTTAAATGCACTTTCTCATTTACACATAGGTTCACCGGTAACCGACGGGTTGTACTTATTGTTCTATTTTTGTTTTTAAGGAAGATTGTTCATTTGATTGTTGGTTACAAGTGAAAGGGTGCTTTTTAAGCTTAATTGAAAGATGAAGACAAAAAAAAAAAAATCAAATAAGGTGATAGGAAAATTTATCATCGTAATACTTTTCACCTTTGGAAGCAATTGCCGTTCTCAACAATTTTATGACTAATGTCACTAAAGCCTTTTTAAAGATCGACTTTCTCAACATTTTTTTTCTTCATAAATATTGACGAATGATCATGATTATATACTTTAAAAATAAAATTATCTATCAATATTATATCACTTGTTGCTATATAAAGTCTCTCCTTAACAGAATCTAAAATTACATGAGCCTAACATTCTCAAAAGTGCCCTTGCATAAGATCATGCTTGATATTAATATTAAAAAATGTTTCACAAATATTTTAAGTTAATTTTTAATTAGATAAAAATCATTTTAATATATTAATAGAATTAAGTATGTTAAGATACAAGTAAAGTCACACATCACAAAACAATTGAAACTTGTCCTAGTCCCGCCCAGAATCCAATCACAAAACCACTCGTGTGGTTCCTTACAATACCTCCACATATAACAGGTTAAAAATCTTATTTGGTCCCTTATAATATTTTTTTTATTTTAATTTAGTCTCACTTTAATTTTTTATTTCAATTTGGTTCTCAATAATTTAAATTATTGCAATTTGGGACTTCCGTCCAAATGATTTAAACGGAGTTAACTGTTAGCCACGTGGATGTCAGGTGGATGCCACGTAGATGCGTAGGTGGATGCCAAATTTCTTGAATACACCTGGAACCAGAACGACCCGTTTTGGTTGCACTCTTGCTGTGTTAATTTTGTACCTAGAACAGACCGTTTCAGATGTAAAATTAACACACCAATAGTGTAACCAGAACGGATCATTCTGGTTCCAGAATGGTCGATGATTATAGTTCACGGTTGTGAATCGTGCAAGGAAAAAAAACCAAGGTACAAAATATTTCAAACACTATATTTGATAATATTGTCAATGAGAATTGATAACTTCAATTGCTAAACATTTGGGCTATACAGTGTATCATTAAGGACGATGCAGTGTATCACTAAGGACAATGATAACAGGTTTTATTTCATTGTTAGTCAAACTGGAGTGAACCACTTCCTACCAAATTGATACTATACAGTCAAGGATGAAACGAAACGGTGTTTCCCCTTGAAGTCATTGACGATGTACCCTAACAATAACAACCTGTTCTTGAGGAAGTACAACCTGAATTTTTGTGGTTTAGGATTTTCCTTCAGCGTTACCTAGATGATTTCCTTTCTCCGTAATTTCTTTGAACTTTTTTAGTATATGTTATGTTCTGAAATTTTGTTTTCAGTTTCTAAACCATGTTTTTGTCTTTGAATTTATGAAATGTTATGAATTTTTATTTTCAATTTTTGAATCACATTGTGGCATTTTGGTTGACGCATATATGAAGTAGGCGTTCTGGAACGGGCCGTTCTGAATCCAGAACGACCCGTTCTAACACCAGAACGACCCATTCTGGTTTCAGAACGGTTCGTTCTGCTGCACTCATGGTGTGTTAATTTGCATTTGGAACGGCCCGTTCCAGTGTCAAAATTAACACATAACATGTGCAAGTAGAACGGACCGTTCTGGTTTCAGAACGGGTCGTTCTGGTTCCAGGTATATTCATGAAATTTGGCATTCACTTATGCATCTACATGGCATCCACCTGACATCCACGTAGCTAACAGTTAATTCCGTTTAAATCATTTGGACGGAAGTCCCAAATTGCAATAATTTAAATTATTAAGGACCAAATTAAAACTAAAAATTAAAGTAAGACTAAATTGAAACAAAAAAATATTATAAGGAATCAAATTAGAGTTTTAACCCATATAACATAACATGATTGAATCTGTCAACCGCACCATCAACATTAACCCTGAGTGTTAATAATCCCTGTTATATTAGCAAGTAGTAGATTGGAAGCATTCAAAGAGTTTGTCATACTTAAGAAACATAGGAAAAGGAGAGTATCCGGGGCCTAAATTCCTTCAAAAACAAACTTGTTCCTCCCCTTCCATAACTCGTTAATCACTGCTCCAAAAGTCAAACTCCACTCCAGTTATCAGACATGACTTGACATTTCCTCAAGTACTTTAACATCCACGGATGCAACTCATATGCAAAGAATTGAGACCAACACGTGTGGGGATTAAGGGTTGCCATAAACGTTTAGCAACAAAACAATCCCGCGTAGAGTGGTGAAAACAAATAAATAAAAATATTTAGAAGACTCATTTTCTTCGACTATATATATATATATATATATGAAAATTTCCCCAATCACCTCAATTAATATTTTAGTTTATATAATTTATAGACATGTTCATTATATATAACTAATGTAAAAAAAGGTATTCGTGCTTTCATAGTATTTTTTTTAATACACATATGTAATTGGGAGTAATGTACAATTATTGTAATTCAATAATAATTTTATAGATAAAAATTTATATAAAAAAAAAACTTGTGCAACCTTTATTAATTATTATCGTGCAATTTTTATAAAATTTAAAATTATCAAAAATAATGTGTACATCAAAATAAGAAATCAAATTTATATAAAAAAATAAATTAAAAATTATTAAAAATTATATATAAAAATAAATATTATGTTGAATATAAAAAATCATATTTAAAATTTGTAAAAATAAATATTTTTAAATATATAAATTATATTTTAGATTTATGATAAATAATTTATATTATAATAAAATAAATTATTTTTATTTATTGATAATTATTTTAAAATATTAACATTTAGTTAATAAATAATTATAATAAATAAAATAAAATTAAATAAAAAATTAAAAAAATGTTATAAATTCGCTGATTGAAAATTCTTGACAAAAGATAATAATTCGTGTTTAATATATAATATTTAATTCTAATTACTAGTATACTTTTTATGAAAAAAATGTTGCTTGCAAAAAAAAAAAAACACAAAAAACTATACAAACGTAAGTAGAAAAAGGAGAAAGAAAAAATAGTAAAGTAAAAAGTGCTTTAAAAAATATTTATTGAAAATAAAGAGATCATGACCCTGTGACACAGTAACATTATCCACATGGTACCTATGACAGTTTGTCGTGGTGAGTTGCATCTGCGTGTGACTGCAAGAAATGGCTCTTGTTCTCAACGTCTCATTGTGTTCCACTTCTAAGCCCCGTCTTTCTCTATCAACCTCCAATTCCAAAGCTTTTCCTCTTCCTCTCCTTGTTCGTATACTATACCTACTTTATCTTATTCAATTCTCTCTTTGCTCCCTCCGATTCATTTCACTCATTTTCTTCACAGGGACTCAACACAAAGCAAAGTCGCCAAGCATCTCAGAAACTCACATTTTCATTGGCTGAATCCGTGTCTAGTGCCACTCTCGTTGCTTTCCTCTCTGCTTCTTTCATCTTTGTTCATCCCGCACTTGCATTCAAGGTAATGAATAATTCACCACTTTAGTTCATAGATAGGAGTTTCAACCCACATCTACCAGTGGCATGACTAAAATAGAATATAACTGAGCCAAATCTACATTCTTAAGATAATTTCATAGCCTATCATAACAGTTGTTGTTGGATTTCTCCGACTGTTATGAGACCACTCACACATATCTAATTTTGCAAATTTCACACTCCTATCAACTAGAGGAATTACTAAAATAGAATATATAACACCTTACACGTTAGTTTTAAAGGATTGAGTTAAACTCAAACTCCCATTCTTAAAACCAATTATTCAAGTTAAATTTTTTTTTTTTTTGGCTTGATGAAAGATGGGTATGGTGAATTCAGGGTGGAGGACCATACGGGCAAGAAGTGACAAGGGGGCAAGATCTCACTGGGAAGGACTTTAGTGGCAAGACTCTGATCAAACAAGACTTCAAAACGGTGCAAATTTATTTATTTTCCCATTTTTTTAAATAGTTTCATTTTGATACATCATGCTTATAAACATTTGTACCCAACCAACTAGAAATCACAACTTTCAAAGCAATTATTATGAAAGTTAAGGATTTTACCATACATTACAAACCATGGTAGGGTAACATTCTAATTAAATTCTTTTTAAAATTAAGTTGATTTGATGATGGGGGTCATTCAAATGTGTGCTTTTGATCAAAATTTAACAAGTTTAACTATCATTGCCTGTTGCAGTCCATACTGAGACAAGCCAATTTTAAAGGTGCAAAGCTAATAGGTGCTAGCTTCTTTGATGCTGATTTAACAGGTTTGGCCAACACAATGTTATAATAATCAATGTAATATTCACATTTGGACACACCATTTACCGTTTTACATTCATTCTCTCCCAATCTCTCTTGTTGTCAGGTGCTGATCTTTCGGAAGCTGATTTGAGAAATGCAGATTTTTCCCTGGCAAATGTGACAAAGGTAACTGTTTTCCTTTATTAATAGGGTGATGTCACTGATGTGTGTTTGTTATACTAGGATCTAATGGGAAGACCATCTTGAAATTCTTATTTCCTGTTGAAATGGCCCTTACTCCACAACACAACAGTTTGTTAATGTAAAAGCCCTTGTTTATTGTGTTGTGTATTGTTCTCAGATCAACCCAAAATTTAGCATAATGGCAATGACCAAACATTGGGCAATTGTGTGAGCGGGGTTATACAAGAGAGGAGATAATTAATGCACAAATTTTTCCACCATCTGATCAATTGTTTCCTTTCCCTTTGTTATATTATTTAAAGAAGAGAAATAATTAATTTTCATACAGATATAGTAAAATTTCGATACAAAATGATCAGATAGAGATATTAGGGATTTAAGAGTGCATGGAGATGAATCTGTTCTAAAAAGAAATCACTACTAGATAACATGGATTCTTCTACCACCTCATTTTTACTTCATGGCATACAGTTTCTCTCTTTAAAGAATGCAATCTCAATGATTATGGCATAGAAGATGCAATCAAATATTATGATGGATCATTAACATGTTTTTTAGTCATCTGCAATTAGACAGAATGGTAAATTGCACAGGATACAATCAGATGGGAAAGGATCAGATTATTTGATGATAACATATTCAAATTTTATTTTTAGTCAAAGTTGAAAAATGTGTCCGTCCACTGTAAGTAACAAATTTCTTTACTGTTGGCTTCTTCATGAATGATCACTTTCTGCAGGCAAATTTAAGCAATGCTAACTTGGAAGGTGCGCTTGCAACAGGAAATACATCTTTTAAGGGATCGAATATTACAGGCGCTGGTATGTAGTAATACCACATATACTATTGGAATTTTAAGGGGAATATGGTTGTAAAGGAGTGCTTGTATCTGCTAATAGCTTTCAACTCATTAAAGGTCATGTATTGGTTTTGGCTGGTGATTAATTAACTAATATATAGTTCCAAAACCTATATGTAATGAAAACATATGACATGCTTGAGCTGAAGATATAACTGAACCTATACGTAATGTAAAGAACATAACTAGACTTGATATCTATTACTAATACTAGCTCCAAAGTATAAATTGTCGTCTTAATTCTGGCTAAATATCAAGATATGGCACCATAAGAATGAAGATTTACATCTCCATTCAAGAAATTTGATATTAGGAAACTTGTGAATTAAATGGTTGCTTGGTGCCAGATTTCACGGATGTGCCACTAAGAGATGATCAACGCGAATACCTCTGCAAAGTTGCTGATGGGTAAGATTATATCTATAGAATACGCTTGTTTTATTGTCTAAATATGTTTCATATGTAACGAAGTTGTTTATGGTAACAGGGTGAACCCAACAACCGGAAATGCTACGCGTGATACATTGTTCTGCAATTAGCATTCCATTGCTGAAGACTCCAATAACTTCAAAATATATGCACTAAATGTTTGCATGGATGTAAACTATTGGTTGAATGCCAACGAATGCTTTCATAGCTAACAATATCCTTCCTTCATGTTACTCCATTATCCATTATGCAATCTGTGAAGTTGGCAATTTGACATGTTGCTGGAATCTTGTAATGCATAGCATGACAGCACCGCAATTTAAATTGTTCCAGATTTTCATTCACCATACACCTGACAATAAGATTGTGATGTAATGCTCAACCAGCCACCTATGTTATGTATTATGGCATTATATAGTTAAAATCCTTTAATAATAAATGGTATAATACACTTTGGTACTCTTGGAGTTGCCTGGTGCAAGTCTTAGACACAATAAAGTGAAGGCCAAACATGAAGATTGCAAAATATATGTCACACAAGAGAGCAAGGTATTTATTTAGGAGGACTGAAAAGAGTTGTTGGACCGTTGATTTGGATTCTGTTGCCTTGACAGTTTGCTCTCCGACTCATAAGTCATCAGTTACAAACTTGTAAAGGCGTGTTTGTTTTGGCGTCCGTGAGGTTCCGTTGAACTTTTCTGTTATACGGAACTTTGGAAGTTGTGTTTTTGCTAAACCAAACACTGTTCTTTGGCAAGTTCCAAGTTTTGGAATGAAGCAGTATTAATCAGCAATCCAAGGTTATACTAGTCTCTCTTCACACAGTTGCAGTCAAAGAGAACATATTTAACGAGTAAGCACTCAAATTAGTCTTAAATTTGAAAAGTGATGTTATATTAGTTTAAATTACAAATTACAAATTCATAATCAAATTAGTTCAAAACTTGAAAAAGTATGTGAGTAGAATATATATATATATATATAGGGACCAAGATAATAGTAAATAGTTAAATTTAAATAAGGGAATAATATGAGATTGTCTTTCAAAATCAAGCATCAAAATAAGTGTTTATTCATTTAATGCTACAACATAGGTTAAATCATGAATCAAGAACTCGAATTGGTCGATCCGACTAAGAATCAGTGAGTCAGTTAATTAGAATTATACATTGGATTGAATATGTCACCAATCCTCTTAGAACATGTGTGACTTGACCAATTTTTCACCAAAATATAGGTCGTTCTCATATAAGTGTAAATACCTTGTCACTAGGCAAATGATTTCTTATTTTTATTTGTAACAAATATAATATACGTACTATATTAAATTATTTTTTATTTAAAGATAGGACTCTTGGATGAATGTGCCTATTTAATAATCACTAAATAAACATACTTTATTATTATACAACTTAATTAAATAATTTATATAGTATATTTTTAATTTAAAATTATATATTTAATTATATTAATTTATGTGGTTCAAATAGTCTTAATTTGTTTGTTCTATTATCATTAAATTGACTATAACTTTTTTTAGAGACTTCTTTAGGATATGTATAAATTTTATTGAAATTTATAGCTATAAAATATATATAATATTAATAAATTTTTAAAAGAATAACAAAGACCTAATGTGTTTCAATTAGTGAGTTATTAATACGACCTTTAACTTATTAACTCAGTAAATTAATAGATTTGATAATTAGTCCATTTTTTAAAACATCAAAACTCCACATATTCCGTTAAAATAACCTTCACATAATCTATGAAAATGCCAAAGAAACCTTTGATTCCAATTCCACCCTAATTTTGTTATGAGTAATGTTATATATTTTGAATCAAAGTTCCGACTCATCTTTCAAACCATTCAACCATTTACATCTGTCATTATTTTAAATAAAATATTTCTTTAACTCTATTATTTTAAAGTTTTAAATATTCAGAGGATTTTTTGGTCAAAAAAATTTCCAAAAATATATTATTTTTGTTTTCTTCTAGGTTTTATTTTTTAAGAGGCCCAATATTTTTAAGGCTAAAAACCTAATTTGGTCCCTTATAATCTTTTTTTGTTTCAATTTAGTCCCTCATTAATTTTTTGTCTCAATTTGGTCCCAAACTAATTAATTTGTTTCAATTTAGTTCTACATTAATTAATTAGTTTCAATGTGGGACTTCCGTCCAAATTATTTAAACGGAGTTAACTTTTGGCCACGTGGATGCCACGTAGATGCATACGTGACATCCATGTGGATGAGAATTTTTTTTGAAAACACCTGGAACGGAACGGCCCGTTCTGAAACCGGAACGACTCGTTCTTCTTTCAGCACGGGCCGTTCTGGATTCAGAACGGCCCGTTCCAAAACTGTGAATAAAATATTCTTTGCTTAATTGTGTTTTTGATATTGTAATTATGCAATTTTGATCTCTAAAGTTTTAATTGAGTAATTTCAGTCCTTAAAAGATTATAGTTGTGTAATTTTAATCTCAAAATTTTTAATTGAACAATTTTAATCTCTTAAATATCATAATTGTTCAATTTTAGTCTTTCTCATTAAAAATTTAATAATTTAATAATTTTAATATATATATATATATAATGTTTTAAAACTATATAATTGTTTGTTTATTTAAATTAACGTATATTATTTTTTTTAATGTATCAAATGATATATATTTATTATTACTAAATAAATAAAATTTATATATTATTAGTATTTTAATATTACTGATAAATTAATATCAATAATATTTTTACTATTTTTATAAATAAACTAATAATTTGATAAATATAACTTAATATATATTAATATACTTTTACAAAAATATAAATATATAAGATCAGATATATATTTCTAATTAATATACTTATATTTTTGTAAAAGTATATTAATATATAACAAGTTATATTTATCAAATTATTAGTTTATCTATAAATATATTAATAATATTATTGATATAATATCGAAAATTATAATATACGTTAATTTGAATAGATAAATAATTATTTAATTTTAAAACATTATATATATATATATATTAAAATTATTAATTTTTAATGGGAGAAACAAAAATCATACTATTATGATATTTGAGGGACTAAAATTGTTCAATTAAAAATTGAAGGACCAAAATCGCGCAATTGCAATTCTTTAAGGACTAAAATTATGCAATTAAAATCTTGGAGATCACAAAACTGCACAATTGTAATACTTGAGAGATAAAAAATGCAATTAAACCAATATTCTTGATTAATTTTATTAAAAAATATAATAATTTTGAAAAATATTTTTTTATGGTAAAAATTTTAAAATTACTTATTTTTATAAAATATAATTATCTTATAAATAGAGTAATAATTTTTTCTTTCTCTTTCTGTTTGAAGAAATATTTAAATATCACTTTATAATTTTTTGCAACTTATTTAAGATTAAAAGAATAAAATGATAAAAATTAATAAAATAAACATAATAAAATAAAATAATAAAAAATATTAATATATTTATTTTATTAGATATAATAACATAATTAAAATATAATTAATAATATATATTTTATAAAATTATTAATATTTTATATATATAAAAAAATAAAATAAAACCGGAACTGCCCGTTCTGGTTGCATTTTCGTTGTGTTAATTTTGCACCTGGAACGGGCCGTTCCGGATGCACAATTAACACACCAAAAGTGCACCCAGAACGGGTCGTTCTGGGTCTAGGTGTTTTAAAAAAAATTCTCATCCACGTGATCAAAAGTTAACACCGTTAAAGCAATTTGGACGGAAAGTCCCACATTGAAACCAATTAATTAATTTGGGACTAAATTGAAACCAATTAATTAGTTTGGGACCAAATTGAGACCAAAAATTAATGAGGGACTAAATTGAAACAAAAAAAGATTATAAGGGACCAAATTAGGTTTTTAGCCTATTTTTAAATACTTAAATGACATTTAATATTTCTTTTTATCACATCACTTGTTGAGCACTGAAGGGGGGTTACCACACATATACACATATGTCTATGTTGGTGAGATATTATCTGCTTTGGGCCCAAGCCCCACGGATTTGCTTTTGGACATCACCCAAAAGGCCTCTCAACCAATAGAGACAATTATGTGTATATAAACTCATGTTCATCTTCTTGTTTGAACGATGTGGGACTTTGCTTGCATCTCAACAATCCTCCCCTCAAACAAAGGACCACGGTTTAACTCATTCCCTACAGCGAAAACTACAAGTATTATTTGATGGTGGCCCTACAGGCTCACTCACGCTCAGAGTGCTTGCACCACCGCTCCGTCATGACCTCCCTCATGACAGGGGGACACACCTCTTAAGCATCCATGTTACTGGGTAGCCTCTCTTCCACATGGACGCACCGTTAGGAAGACTTTCGACACAAGGGATCTCAAACTTAGATCCACCTGCTAACCATCATACTCGTCGAGCCGGTCACCTGATCAGACCATCAGCTCTGATACCACTTGTTGCGTACCGAGAAGAGTTACCACACATATACACATATCTCACCAATGTGGAGACATGAGTATATGTGTGGTAACCCCTCGGTGCGCAACATCACCAATTTTTATCGATCTGATTTTCTACTCTCTTTTTATCATTCGCAAGATGTCTACAGTACCTTTTTCTTCAAGTCCTAATAATTATTGTTTTTGTCCTAAATAGAGGTTGTCCCTCTATCGACCTCAAGGTTGTTAAACATCAAAATAATAGGAACATTATACCCAATTTATTTTATTTACGAACTGGATTAATTCACATCAAGTTTCAAACTTACAAAATTAGCCGATTCAATCCTTAAATCATTTAATATTATCCATGATAAAGTATATCAAACTTTCCATAAATTAAACCTTATGCTATAAAAAAACATATCCGTCAAAATTAAATAATCCAATAAAATATCACTTAGTTTTTATGTATATTAAATTTTATAAACTACATTTACTTTATAAAAACTTTCAATTAAACAGTTAAATTAGTATTTTATTATATAGAAAGTTATTAAAGGGGAGTGTATTGGTTAAAGATTTTAAAAGACTTTTTTTGAGCAAAAAAGTTTGTTGATATTCGATTAAGATTTTATGTCACTTAAAAACAATTCAATGATATTCAATCTAAATTTTCAAGATTTTTTAAAGAGACCATTAAAATTCATTAGTATTCATTTGAGACTTTTAATAACTTAAAAATAATTCATTAGTATTCAAAAATATAGGAATTTTAAAGGATTGTTGTATTAGAGGGATTTTGAAGGATTTTTTAGTTGTATCTATAAATACCAAATTCATAAAACAATCTCATCCAAATCTATCAGATTTTGGAGGATTGTTTGAAGTAATTCTTCAAGAATTTTCAAGTGAATTTTTCATATTTATTTTTCTATGCTCATGTATTCTCCATTTTTTTTCCTCTTACTAATAATACTACACTACTTCTCATATATAACATTTTACTACTGTTCCCATTCCATTCTCCTATTTGGTGAAACTTCTATACGTAAATGATAGTGTCATTAACTTGCTCTATTTTTCTCTTCGTTCTCTTTAGTTGACTTGCTCTATTTAGTTGAGATTGTTCCTCAGTTATGTAACATAAAAAACACTTGGAATTTTAACTTTTAAATAGTAATTTTTTTATAACACGCGTCAATAAATGAGAAATGTGAAAGCTAAAATTGATATCATGATCTCTATAATCAATAGTAGATCTTCAAGACCTTGTAATCAATTTAGATTTATTAGGAAAAAAAAATATATATATATATATACATATATATATATATATAAGATGAATTTGAGTTAGGGTTTTTGTGAGTAGAATGAGATAAGAATGGAGCTTAGTTGGAGAAAGAACCCTCTCCGCACAAAAATTGCAATCTCTCTCCCTCTCTTGAATTTGTTATTGTTATCCTTTCCCTTTTATGATTCAACAATTATTTTATTTTATTTTACTATGAATTTTATTCTTTTTTATTTTTATATTGTGAAATTAGGATTTTTTATATTTTAAAAAAGAAAATTAACATAAGACATTGTAGTATCTTAGAATTCAATACTAAAAATATTTCTTCACGAGTGAATAATTAAAAGTAATTAAAAAATAAAAAAAAATATTTTCTACCTGTAACAAATTTCAGATATTTTTTTGGTTAAAACCCTTATTTGGTCCCTTATAATATTTTTTTGTTTTAATTTAGTCCCACTTTAATTTTTGGTTTCAATTTTGTCCCCAATAATTTAAATTATTGCAATTTGGGACTTCCGTCCAAATGATTTAAACGGAGTTAACTGTTGGTCATGTGGATGCCACGTAGATGTCACGTAGATGCGTAGGTGGACGTCAAATTTCTTGAATACACCTAGAACCAGAACGGCCCGTTCTGGAACCAGAACGGCCCGTTCTGAAATCAGAACGGCCCATTCTGGTTGCACTCTGGGTGTGTTAATTTTGTACCTGAAACGGGCCATTCCAGATGCAAAATTAACACACCAATAGTGTAAAACCAGAACGACCCGTTTTGGTTTCAGAACGGACCGTTCTACTGCACTCATGGTGTGTTAAATTTGCATTTGGAACAGCCCGTTCCAGTTGCAAAATTAACACATAACATGTACAAGCAGAACAGGTCGCTCTGGTTCTAGGTGTATTCATGAAATTTGGCATCCACCTATGCTACATGGCATCCACGTGGCCAACAGTTAACTCCGTTTAAATATTTGGACGGAAGTCCCAAATTACAATAATTTAAATTATTAGGGACCAAATTGAAACAAAAAATTAAAGTGGGACTAAATTGAAACAAAAACATATTATAAGGGACCAAATAAGGATTTTAACCTATTTTTTTTCTCCTAATTGATGTTTGTAAATTTTTACTTCAGTACTAATATAAAATGAAGAGACATATTTAGTTATAAGAGAGTAGAATGGCTCTCCCACTATTTTTTTAATCATTTATGAATTTATAAATAAAATATTTTAAAGCACAAATTATAAAAAAAAATTGAAATGTTGTTTAGAATAATTTTTAGCATGTGTAACATTACATAACTTTCTTCATAAAAAATGTCATTCTGATGAATTTTCAATTAGAGTGGTGGACAAACATTCATCTTCAACATTACCCATTAATAAAAGTCATAATTTTGAGCCTATTATTAAAACCCAAGAATAAGAGCAAAAAGTTGTTAATGTTTGGAAGATTAGTATAGTTATGGATATGAGTAAATGCTATTTAGAAGAACATGATATTACAAAGAATTATTATTATTATTTATCCAAACATTGTTATTTTTTATATATATATATATGACTCTTTTTAAATTTGAATGTATAAAAAAAAATCTTGAGCTTTTATCCTATATAAAAAATCTATAAAATTCTACAAAATTAACAAAGTCTCGTAAAATTCATTAAAATATTAACTTAAAAGTCTTGCAAAATCTATTAAAATCTTAATTAAAAATCTTGCAGAATCTTACAAAATCTTAAAAGTCATAAAAATCTTAAAAATTATTTTAAAATCCACGATTCTTTTAAGTAAAAAGTCATTTAAAATCTTAATCCAATATACTTCCCTAAATAACGTGTTAACAAAAATTCAACACTCGGAGTCAAACGATCTCGTCCCTTTTATTTATACCAAAAAAAAAATCATCATAAATCTCACTTTATAATTTAAATAAAAAATAAAAAAAAAATAAAAAATAAAAAGCAGACAAACTCAAATTCTCTTCAAATACTCTAGCAGGCGGCAGGCCAGCCATTGAACAATACAATCTTCTTCCAGCTCAAACTTATGAGCCAGGTTATACACACCATACCTCACTGTTTTTCCTCTCTCTTTTTACCTCACATGTATAGCAAGAAGCAATATGATGAGCTAATAAAAAACAAAAGAACTAGCACAGCAGTAAATTTTATTTCAAGCTCAATCGTTCAGAATCCTTGGGAATGAAGGCAGAAATATTAAATATACTGATAAACAATTAATAACCAGCATGTATTAATGAGCATCTGGAAAGGTAGAAGGGCTTGAGAGGAGCGCGAGTTTGATCAACGATAATTTAAATTGACCCGTTAACATTGCATGTCATGGCGGAGGTGTCATTCGTCTCCGGACACGGCGCGGTCTACTGTCAGAGCCTCCATCTGAGGATTCATTTGCATCATCAGATCCAGATTGTCCTTCATAATTTTCCCCCCAGAGTGTTGAGGGTCTTCTTATTCGCATTTGGAGTGTGGTACCCCTGGATACGGATGCAGGTTGAAGAATGAGGAAAAACACAGCCAGCAGACCACCATCATCAATGGGATCATCTACCCCAAATGATGTTTGCAGTGTGCTAAGGAGGTCACCGAGATCCCTCTGGCGCTCCAACCTCCTCCAGTTACGCTGACGCTCTGGATCTACTGCAGATGGGCGTTCAAGAGGATGTTCAAGCCTTGCATGCTTTCTAAGATCTGTGTATGTACCACTGAAGTTGCAAGTCTCACATGAACAGCTCCTCGATTTTTCATTCATGAAATGACGAGCTGCCTCCACTACTTTCCACTCTTTTATTTGCCCTCTACATAGAGGGCATACTAATTTCGATTTTGCATCATTCTCACAGGATAAGGCTTGCATTGTAACCAAACCTTCACTTCTGTCTTCTGGCACATCAATTCTACTTTCAACAGTGTTTGAAATCTGACCTTCTACTTGAGGAATGGTTGACGAGGTGTCTGTAAATGACTTGCAGAATTGATCGAGACAGTTTGAGTGGCGATAGCTAGTGTTACACATGTAAGGGCGGCATCCCTTATCATGGGATGAACATATGAGGAGAACTGCATTGTGAGGGTGCTCCATGCACACTGGACACCTAGCTTCTTCCCATTCTTTAACATTTTCCTCTGCCTCTTTAGGAGCAGATCTTCCAACACGACTAGAGCTGCTTGGGTAAGGTGATACTCTGCAACTATCATGTGACACAGACCTATCTCTTCTCTCCTTTGGCATTTTGAATTGTTAATATTTTTAAAATACACAAAGACTCCACCACCCAGGGGAACAATTGAAGCAACTAGAAACCTACGTACAGATAGCATCAACATGAACAAAACTGAATTGGACATCAATACAAATTTCAGCAAAAACTTATAGCGCACACATCAGATATTGGTGCGAGAAAAATAGATCAGTAAGGAAACATTCATGAGTAAAACAACAGAACCTAAAATACTTTTAGCAGGCCATGCATAATCATTCTACAGAGACAAATTTCATTTCCAAAATGTGTAAATCTTGTATGTAGGAAGTAGGAACAGTTATCATTAAGGTAACTAAATGAGAGAAGTTAGTTTATGAAAAACATATTAAGCAGACAAGACCTTCAAAATACATGCACTAAATGTTGCACCAATGTAACCTTTTGCTTGAATGCTAAAGAATGGTTCCATAGCTAACAATATCCTTCCTTCATATTTCTCCATTATTATCATGATCCAAATCTAGTATCTGTGACAAGCCAAGATTAGAGATATCTTCCTGATTCCAAAGCTTATCAATTCCTCCCAATTTACAAGTCACTTTCTCAAAACTTGATAATAACCTTCGTGATTAATAACTTTTCAAAAACAAAATTCCTTCATATCAAAGTTTATAGAAATTCAAAACAAAAATGGTTAACAAAATTAATTAATCTTTTATAAATAAAAGTGCAATGATATAACATTCTTCACATCCCTAATAGAAGAGTGAACCAACAACATCTCATTGAGGTCACCCCAAAATACACACATACATGCATGTAAACATTGTTTTCAATTTGTTTCATATTTTCAGATATTTGTACAAGAAACAGAAGGGGGAAAAAAAGTTGTTTTCTTGTACAAAATTTTTAAACAGGAAATCGGAAACAAATTGAAAAAAGGTGGCATTTTATTAGTGAAAATAGAAAAAGAAACAGGAAATAAAACACAAGTAAACAGGACCTAATGAATTTGTTCACCCATGCGCAGTGGCTTAAATACAAATACTATGTGCATATAAGCTATTATTCATTTTCTCACTACGGTAAAGCAGATTGTGCTAATTTTATTCTCGGTTTTCAGCAACGGGCAGGTGTTCTAACATAGAACCCATAAAAATTGCATTCAAACAAATCCCAGACAATTACAGGTCATGTATTCAACATATCACATTTCAACAATTTCATATCATATTTCTTCACTTTGTTACTACACCATCAAAGCTTAGCAAATACACCATTCTCAATATAAATTGAATAAAATAACAAGTTAATTTTACATCATAGACTACAGCATGCAAGTTTTAAAATATCACAAGAATCATTTCACGAGAATTAACACATTCTAAGATCTGTAAATTTCAAATTATAGCATTAAAATTGAAAACCTTACTTGGCTACTCCTCTTTTATCCACAAATGGGATTGACTCACAATGAAATAATTTACAAAATTTGCCACAAGAAACTAGATTTTCTTGGCTTTCCAACAAGCTAAGGATTACACATAATGGAATTTGATCCTTCAAAGTAGATTGATCTATATCAAAATTCAGCATGACTATGAGCTGCATTAAAAAATTCTGAATTAACTGACTAAAACAATAACTTATTATTTCATGAAATAACAGGGAATCTTATAGTCATCAAAGCATTATGAAAATTTCCAGAATCAAACTTCTGTTTGTAAGTTTTCAAACAACTTTGGTTCCACTGCAAAATCATTTGCATAACTTGAGTTATGCTCTTTTAAAGTAGGTTGCCTCATGTCAAAACTTAGAACAGACAATCATGTTTTTCGAATGAATTTTGAAAAAATTCAGTTAGATACTTTTAAACAAAATTTGTTTAACAAAAAACCAATTCTTGTAGCTCAAATTGTCCTCATTTTACAGCAGAAAATTTTGCCTAGAGCTATTCCAGCTTTAAACAGATGCATAGATCGATATGGATTTAAAGCTTGCAGTGTCTACTATCATAATCCACACTTAAACATCAAATTATCTCATAATTTGAGGGCTGAGCTTTTGTCAACCACTTTGCCTATGAAATTCTCCAACTTTCTCAAGTCTTCAAATTTCTCCAAACCCCTTAACGCCTCTAATTGCAAAACTAAATAACTCAATCCAATAGCTTATTTACCCCAGAAGACACAAGATTTCTCCCTGAGAAACACGATTCCCCTTCAAAACCCTAGTTTACCAAAACCAAACCCATAGAAGCAGTTCAACGAATCCAACTCTAAAAATTAAGAGATAAAGCAGAAAATTGAAGTTCAAACTCTAAATCCCTGACCTCTTGGATCTTCCAAGTCAAATCCGGAAAAAATGGATGTGCTGAAACCCTGAAACTTTTGATACCGTTGAGTTACTCTCGTTCTCCTCTTCAATTTGTTCAACTGAGATGAACGCAAAGGAGATCTCGATCTTGCTCTTTTTCTTTTGTCTTTTTCTTTATTTTTTCCCCTTTTTCATTTCTTCCTCTCCTTCCTCTTTTTTTCTCTGTCTTTGCTAATTGCCTCTGCAGTTCCACGTTGGAAACCCTGTGAACGCTGTTCTTATATCACTTTTATTATTTACTTTCTTGGGCCTTTACTTCACCAAATTCCATATAACCTTCTTTTTCTTCAACGTTTTCATTTCTCTTTTCACTTTTATATATATATATATATAAACATTATAAATCTTCCTACCATATTTTTTTATTTAATTACTAATCCTTACATAGTATGTACTACATATCTCGTCATTTTTTAATATATTTTTACTAATATTTTAACATGTGGAATGGATAAAATAGATGTTTTATTTTATATAATTATAATTTATAATAAATAATTTATTTAATTATATAATTATATTATAATTAAAATTCATAATAAAAA